AAAACGATTTATTGTGTGAGCAATCACAGTTTAAAACACGGATGGCCGCATAGATAAACGGGTTTTTTAGTCTCAGTGAGGACAAGCTGGGTGGATGAGTTGGTTCGCAAGTTTCACCTCACTATCGAAATATAGAAGAAAACCTTACTTACTAGTGAACGCCAGAGTTGATCCAAATTATGGTCCTTACTTGGCTATAATTCGCAACAAAATCAATAGCTGATTGAATTATTGTTGTGAAATTACAACATCCGTTTCGATCAACGCAAATGGTTGAGGTTGTGTTAGTGTCTGGAGGAGGGAAGTCGGAGGAAAATCTTCACAAATGTCGGCTATTTTTCTATCACTATGGTGTTTACCATGGTGGTGGTGATGATGATTGCCTTCGGTGCTATACATAATGAAAGTGGCAAAAATAGGTGATGAAAACGCGGCCAAGCCAAGCTCAATGAGTTGGTGCCAAAGTGAGAGGTTTGGATTAATAATAACAGTTGCCAAAAGGGCAACCAAGAGAGTGAAAGAAATGTTTTTTAGACCTTTTTTTTTTTTCCTTTATTTGGTAGAGGGGATCATCGGTGAAGACGATCGGTTGATAATATTTTTTGCAGTAGCGAGCAGAATATAAAGATACATGTCCTTGAAGTGAAAGGATTGATAACATGGCTTGCAAAGCACCCTGTCCCTGTGCATTCTTGGGACAATTTCCAAGCTACCAAGAACCTGCTGCGGATGAGGCTTGGATTGCATAACAGGGGAATCAAGCTACTCGACAGACTCTGTGGCTACGCGATGCATCCTCCATTTCGCAGGAAAAAAGCACAAAAGCGCACTGCAATTTACTCTATTTAAGACTGTCATGGGGCTAAATGAATGGTCCTGGTATGCAGCCACAGAGACTTTGTTTAATCAAAGGTGTCAATTATTGGGGGTGTTTAATTTTTTCAGGGGTTAATATAAAAGTTAAATATTTATTTTTTTATAATATTAATATTATTATTTTTTATTTTATTTAATAAATTTTATATGTATATAAATCTTTATTATAAATTAATTTTCATAAATAAATTCATTAAACACAACCATGATGATCTATATTATAATATTGGTATCTTAATTTTTTTAATTATATTTTTATTTATCATTAATTTTTATTTATTTATTTATTTACACAGATTTATTTGATTTTTTTATTGAAATTTATAATTTTTATATTAAAAATTGTTTTAAAAACTCTATATATTCAAGTTATTTAAATTTGGTGTTTTTAATTTGATCATTATTCTTATAATTTTTTTAAATTTTTTATAAAATTTCTATTATTTTTAATTTTATTATTCAATTCAATGTGTATTTTTATTTTATTTTTTTTCCTTATTGATTTTTTATATATATTCATTTGTTATCATTGATTTTTTTTCTTATATGATTCAAATAAATTCAAAATATTTAGTTAATTAAAAATATAATCTGAATTATTGGATTTTAAAAAAAAACATACTTGTAATATCTAAATCTTTTATTGAAAAAATAAAACTTGCCGCAGTGAAGTACAGCACTAAGTAGTTGTTATTGTAGGCTGAAAAAAGAAGAAGGAGAATGAGAGTGCAATGGACTAAAGCATCAAAGCCCATCTTTCAAATTGTTGGGCTAAAGCTCAGCCATGAAATCTTTACAGCTTGAAGCCGGGCTAGTCCATAGTACTCACCTTATTGCAGAGCTCTTTGCATCTTCCACTGAATTGGCCCTTGTTTCAACACCAATCCAGGACAAAAACACAAACGCCTTCTGGGTGCAGTGCCAACACTTCATTGTCCAAAAGGAACAGCAAGAATTACATCAAAGTTTGAAACTCCCTTGTCTTAGCAGCAAGATTTGTTTGAGAGTTTGAA